GTCTGACTTAAAGCGCTCCCAGCTGGTGGTGGTGCCCTCGGTGACTGCCAGAGCCAGTGCAGCCCCCTCCCACAGGGCCGAGGCCAAGGTTCAACGCCGCAACACAGCCCCAGCTGTGACACAGCACCAGCTAACCACGTGGTGCAAGATGTGGCGGGCTTTGCCGAAATGGGAAAATAAGCGAGGTGGGAAAACCAGTGTGAAACCAAAAAGCAGAGTCGAGGGGGCACCAGGGCGAGGACAGCTCTTTGCAGAGTGGCCAACCGGAAGGAAAATCGCAGTGAGTTTTCTTGACATGGAAAGAACACAGCTTTCCTTTCTTTAAGTGGCTCTGCACTTTCAAGTGACCTTGTATTTAGTGACTGCACAGGAAACAAAACAGCGTGATGTAAGCAGCGAGCAGTGATCAGGGAGGGCATCTTGGAGGAGGTGACGGCTGAGCTGAGAAGGAGCCCGCAGAGAAGAAGCCATGGACACAGCTCACTGTTGCTGCGTCAATGCCCAGGGCAGGGCCCAGGTCACAGGCCAGATGCTGGACACATATTTGTTAAATTAACACATGAGCTAAGGAATGAATGTTATTAAAAAAAAAAGAAAAAAAAAAACACCAAGCCTGTGGCCAGTGTTGTGGTGCAGTGGGTTAAGCCACCACTTGCAATGCCGGCACCCCACTGTATCAGAGCACCAGTTCTGCATCCGATCCAGCTTCCTGCTATTGTGCCTGGGAAAGCAGCCTGGGCCCCTGCCACCCACGTGGGAGAGAGGATGGGGTTCCTGGCTCCTGGCTTCAGCCGGGCCCAGCCAGGCCGTTGCAGCCACTTAGGGAGTGAAGCAGCAGATGGACGATCTCTCCATCTCTCCCTCTCTCTGTCACTCTCCGTTTCAGGTAAAGAAATCTTTTTTTTTTTTTTTTTAAGCAAGCCTAAGTCTTAAAGGACCCCAACCAGCTTGGTTCTTCCTGGGGCCATTCTCAGCCTGTCTCAGACCTCTGTTTCCTCATCCACAAAAGGCGAGGCCTTCGCCACCACCGCCTCTGGACGTTAGCTCCAGATGGCACGGCTCTGAACCCTGACCCCAGCACGGGCACAAGGGACTGTCACACTCCCGGAGGCCATCCTCACGTAACTCCAGGCCTGTGAGCTTTGGCCAAGCTGCTACGTCTCAGGAAGCTGCTGCCTGACTGCTCAGCCTGGGGGTGGGGATGGAGCCACAGAGCCTGCGAATTTCCTGCCCACCTGCGCCTTCCGGATACGGATACGTGTATCATGCCCAGGTCAGTGCTGGAAGCTGCGGATGCCGGGAGGAGAGATGGGTCCCAAACAGGATGACAACCCCACAGCCGGGGGTCTCAGGACCCCTCCCAAGCCAGGTGTCCCAAGCCAGGACATCCGGGGAGCGGAGAAGGAACCACAGCTGACAGAATTTGGTGTCCCTCCTCTGCTAAGGGAGGGACACCAAATCGCTCCCCAGAGGACAAGCGAGTCCACAGGACATTCCATGTATTTCTACATTGTTTCAATTTGCCGGCACACTTTGGGGAGTTGATGGCCCTTATCCAGTGGGAACAGGAGGCTCAGCTACTGGCCAAGGTCATGGAGCTGGGTTCATGCATTGGCCTGGGCTGCCCAGAGTCCATACCTGGAGTGTGCAAGCCATGGGGGAGGCAGGGAGCTGGGGGAGGGGGGTGTTGCAGGGAGAGGTGGGAGTGTGTTGCATTTAGGAACTGGGCGCTGAGGCTTTCACAAACAGCCAGGAGGCCACGGCTTCCTTGTGAAGAAGCTGATGGGAGCCAAGTCTGCAAGTTCCTGGCTTCCTGCACAATCACCCCTGCCCCCAAGCCAGCCCCATGCAGGACCTGTGGCAAGGGGACCTGGTCTCCTGCGGTCAGGGGCCACTGGAGGAATTCTGCCTCCCGCCCCTTTCCAGTGCAAGCCCTGGAGTCTCCCAGGGCAACCTGGAGATCCAGCACCATCACCCTGGTCTGTGCTGGGGGGCGGGCACCGACCAAGGGCTTCCCCCCAGAGCCACGCCCTCCCAGCTCTGAGCAGGAGCAGCGGGACTTCGAGGATTCTGCAGATGGAGTTAAGGTTACTGATGTGCTGCCCTTCACTGGGAGGCAGGATCCCAGCTTATCTGGGTGGGCCTAGGTGAGCCCTGAAACGGGGGCAAGCAGGAGAGAGCTCCCAAGCCAGGACATGCGGGGAGTGGAGAAGGAACCACAGCTGACAGACACAGAACTCGGATGCAGCACCCCCAGAGCGCAGCGCTGCAGCGGGGAGACCCTCACAGACACCAGGCAGACAGACAACGGGCAGGCCTGGGCTGAAACCCGCTAAGCCTTCTGGGACACCTGCAGCTTCCAGAGTTGGCTGAATCCGCCAGGGACTTCGAGAAGTGCCTCACTGTTGCCGATGCGTACTGGGTAGTTGAGACTTACCACGCTTGCCCTCCTCGTGGAGACTGTTTTGTTTGTTTGTTTTTCTTTTTTCTTGTCCTCATTCCCTGAACACAGAGTGGCTATTTACACAGCACTGACCTTGCCTAAGGCATGAGATGTAATCTAGAGGGACTTCAACAGGAGAAGGCGTATGACGTCACAGTTTATAGACAGCACTGCAGCACCCGTAGATTCTGGCATCCACATGGGGTCCTGGAAGCCATCTCCGGCAGACCCCGACGGAGAGCCATAACTGGAAGCGACAAGGGGCCTCCTCGGGTTACGTGAAGACACAGCCATCTGGGCAGTCTGGGCGCCTGGTGTTGGCTCCACACCGCCCCACAGGAGCATGGGAGGAACGGGGCTCCCAGATTTGACACAGTCACCGGCGGGGGTCAAATTCTGATTCTGTCACTCAACCAACATTTGTCAAACATTAGTTAAGATGTTAAGTGTTAGCTGAGTGTCTGGAACTCGGATCTCATGGAGTGACAGATGGCCACGCTGACTCAGACCCAGGGACAGGAAGTAAGTCACTGATGCTGGGGGCGGGGGGAGGCGGAGAGGCAGAGAAGGGTCCCTGGTCCACCCAGGGTCGAGGTTTCCCAGGCACTGCAGCCCTGTGCTGGCTCTTGTGATCCGGAAAGGAGGGAGGGATGAGGTGGTTGCCCCTTCTGGGAACAGCAGGGCCACAGCACGCTGTAGGGGTGGGGACATCATTTGGCCTGGCCCTGCCAAAGCAGCTGTGGGTTGGACTTGAAACTAAACCATAGCCGGCTGAGTTTTAAATTGATGATCAGTGTGGAGCCACACCAATGATGTGATAAAGATCCAAATGGCCCTGCGCAGAAAGAAGTTCCCCAGCCCTGGCACAGGGAGACCACGCGTGGCAGGCTCAGGAAAAGGACAGCTGACCGGCTGGGCCAGCATGCAGACCCCAACAAAGGGTGATGGCCAGCAGGGCGTGGGCCTCCGTGAGCCCAGGACAGCCTCCCAGGTCTGACAGGGGAGGCAGGTTGAAGGTGCCAGGCAGGGGAGAGCATGAGGGGTGAGGACATCTTAGGACTTCCCCATCCCTCAGGCCACTCCAGCTCATCCTATGGGTCCCCACTGGTGGCGGGAAGCACCGCACCTGCGCTTGGGTACCAGTGTCAGGTGACGCCGTGCTGTCCAGCACCTGGCACAAAGCAAACAATCCATGTTAGCTTTCAGGGTAAACAGAAAGACCAGGGCGGGTAGGCAGGCCTGCCGGGGGAGGGACAACACTGGCCGGCTCCACCCTTACCCTCTGACTTCTGACTGCCCCACCAGGCTCCCGGCGGTTTCTGCCACAGGCCCCTCCCCTCCCCAGGCTAAAACTGATCACTTACCTTTCTCCAGATGCAAAGTGGAACGCACGCACGCACTCATCCATCCCCAAAGCTATCCTACAGGCTTTTGCTGGCCCATTTCACAGATGAAGAGCAAGCGCAACTGATCCACTGGTTTTTGTCAACTTTTTTTTTTTACACTTAAAAAAAAAAAGAAAAAACACAAAACCCCAGTATCTAACTTTTTTTTTTTTTGTCAGCACATTCTTCTGGAAAGGAAATAGTGCCCACAAGACCAACATGCAAAACAGCCAGATTAGCCCTAAGGACGTGGGCTGGGGGAGCAGGGGTGAGGGAGAAAGCCCAGCTCTCCACGCAGCCCACGCCTTCCCCACAGGGACTGCCAAGGGGCTCCTCCAACTCAAGCCGCCTGAAGCCACAAATGAACTCGGGGCTGAACCCCAAGCACTCGCTGGTGACTCATTCAGCTGGAGTCCCTCCTCCGGGGTCACCGACTGCTGTGGCTCAGGTGGGCACAGGAGAGGCTGTGGGGAGACCTTTGAGGGGCTGTGACCGTGCACCCCATACCATGGCCAGGTAACGCCGGCTCCTGCATCAGGGGCAGAGCAGGGCTGTGTGGGTGCACTGGTTGCGTTCCTCTGATTTCTCCCTAACACTGTTCTGTCAGAATCAGACCGATCAAGCACGCCAAACAAATCAAAGTCCCGGAGTCTTAGTCCCAGCGGGCGACTGTCCCCTTGCCTGGGGCTCTGTGACACCTAACACCTTGCCCAGCACATGCCCTGGGAATGAGACCACGGTGGCCCCCTGGGCACTCAGCATGGCCACCACGCAGACAGACCTGGAGGTCAGCCCCGGGAGCTCTCTGTTCGCGCAAAGTTCCCCCTGCCCTACGCCCTGCGTTGAGCCCGCACGCGGGTCTCCCTCGCGCTTGCCAGGGCACGGAGACCGCGCCGGCCCACGCAGCACGTCCCACATGTAACACCCGCCCTGACAAGGTCTATGGTTACCGCACCCCCTCGCCGGGCCACCCGCCTCCGTTCGTGTACACTCGGGCTTCCCGCCCCGCTCACTCTGCGCGTCCCGCTGCCCGCGGCCCTGCCCGAGAACCCGCGGCGAGCCACGCCCCGGACACGCCCCCACCCCGCCGAGCCACGCCCCGGACACGCCCCCACCCAACCAGCCCCGCCCCCGCCCCACTGGGCCACGCCCCGGGCCGGCGGAAGGATGTGAGCTCACACCCGCCTCCCTGTTCCGGCCGCCACCAGGAAGCGCCCGCCCGAGGTCGCGGCCCGCTCGCTGCCGACGCGCCAGCCCGGGAGTCAGCCGCGCAGGCCCGGCGCCGCACGCCGCGAGTGCCTCCCCGGCGGACGCGGAATGAAGGCGGGCGCCGCGGGCCCCCAGCCTGGTGGCGGCGGCGACAAGAGACCTAATACAGCCCGTCCGTCTTAGACGCCGCGTCGCCCGCGGGCCTGCGCACTCAGTGCCCTGCGCGCTTCCGGCCGAGCCACGTGACCGCGCGCGCACGTGTTCCGGCCTCTGCGCGCCGCAGCTCGGCGCCTCCGGGCCCCATGATGTCCACCTAGAGCGGGCGCGGGCCGGGCTGGGCTGGGCTGGGGGGCAGCGCCATGAACCCCAGGGGTCTGTTCCAGGACTTCAACCCGAGTAAGTTCCTCATCTACGCCTGCCTGCTGCTCTTCTCCGTGCTGCTGCCCCTGCGCCTGGACGGCATCCTGCAGTGGAGCTACTGGGCGGTCTTTGCGCCCATATGGCTGTGGAAGCTCCTGGTCATGGCGGGCGCGGCGGTGGGCGCGGCCGTGTGGGCGCGCAACCCCCGCTACCGCACGGAGGGCGAGGCCTGCGTGGAGTTCAAAGCCATGCTGATCGCCGTGGGCATCCACCTGCTGCTGCTCATGTTCGAGGTGCTGGTCTGCGACCGGCTGCAGAGGGGCACCCACTTCTGGCTGCTGGTCTTCATGCCCCTCTTCTTCGTGTCACCCGTGTCGGTGGCCGCCTGCGTGTGGGGCTTCCGGCACGACCGCTCGCTGGAGCTGGAGCTGCTGTGCTCCGTCAACATCCTGCAGTTCATCTTCATCGCCCTGAGGCTGGACCGCATTATCCACTGGCCGTGGCTGGTGGTCTTCGTGCCCCTGTGGATCCTCATGTCCTTCCTGTGCCTGGTCGTGCTCTACTACGTCGTGTGGTCGCTGCTCTTCCTGCGCTCGCTGGACGTGGCGGCCGAGCAGCGGCGGACGCACGTGACCATGGCGGTCAGCTGGATCACCATCGTGGTGCCCTTGCTCACCTTCGAGGTACTGCTGGTTCACAGGCTGGACGGCCACAACACGTTCTCCTACGTCTCCATCTTCGTCCCGGTCTGGCTGTCCCTGCTGACCTTGATGGCCACCACGTTCCGGCGGAAGGGAGGCAACCACTGGTGGTTTGGCATTCGCCGCGATTTCTGCCAGTTCCTGCTGGAGATCTTCCCGTTTCTGCGGGAGTACGGGAACATTTCCTACGACCTCCATCACGAGGATAGCGAGGACCCCGAAGACGCGGCGGTTCCAGAAGCCCCAAAGATTGCGCCCGTGTTTGGGAAGACCAGGGTGGTCACCCAGAGCCCCGGGAAGTTCGTGCCGCCGCCTCCCAAGTTAAATATTGACATGCCGGATTAAGCGCCACTGCCGGGCCGAGTGGGGATTGCACACGCCCGCTTGCTTTGTCTCTCTACGCCTCCCCGGACCCTGGAAGTGGAAACGGGCTGCAGACGCGGCCTGCCCTCGCCCTGTGTCGCACGGAGGCCCGGCAGTGACTCGGTGTGCATGGCGGAAAGAGGAGCTTATTTTCATATGTGGTTGTGGTGTGTGTGTGTGTGTGTGTGTGTGTGTGACTGTGACCTTGCTTTCCAGGTTGCTGCTCTTAAGAGCTCGCGGGACATCCGTTGAATTGTTTCAGTAGGTCCTCACAAGGAATAACTACACAGCCTTTTTTTTTTTTTTTTTTTAGTGCTATTCTACCTATCAAAAGTATTGGTTAAAAAAAGAAGTATTTTTATACACTGCTAGTCCCAGATACTGTTTCCAATTGTGCCCATTGTGAAGTGACGGCAGCTGCGATGACATCTCCTCCCACACTTTGTAAACCTCACCGTTGTGATTTCCAGTGTTGCTACTGTTAAACTGGTTTTTCTCTGGGCTTTGCTGGTGGTGGTCTTTGCTACTCTAGTAGGTGAATTTTTCTAATGGAGTGCGTCCATGCATAGAGTATTTATATGAACATTGCAGCAGTGTAATACATGTTGAATTCCAGTTCTTTGCGGTACAATGTACCATCCGAATGTTTTTTTTTAAGGCTTTATGAAAAGGAATGTGTCACAGATGCCTTCCTGTGTGCGTGGCGTGGGACCTGAGCGGTAGGCGTGGCTCTGACTCTTCCACTGTTAGCTGACTGAGGCCTGTGCCACTGACGACTGCAGAAGCCACCACTCTTGGGGACAGGGACGCGCTGCCGTGTGCTTGGTGCCGGGCCATCCAGCCGCACTCTCCCCGAGCGCCTTGAATCAGCCAGGCAGCTGGGAGCAGCACGCGGCTTCTGCATTTCCAGGGCTCTTAGACTGCCGTGTCAGAGAAAGCGTGACTTGCCGTTGGGAAGCTGAGAGAGTGGCTTCAACCACAAACGGCCGAGAGAGTCAGGAACTCTAATGTAAAGGCCCAGACTTGGTGTGTGGCAGCCGTGGGGAGACAGGTGGACAGATTTTTTTAGACGCGTGCACTTTTGGCGGGAGGGCCTCCTTGCGTGCCAGGGAATCTGAGCAAGAGCCAAGCCCAGCAACAGGGAGGTGCCGAGCGCTGAGGCTGTGGCTGAGAGGAGACAGCTGGAACCTGCTTGTAATCTTAGCAGTTTACTCAAAACCATTGAATTTGGGCTCCACGTGAATTAACTGAGCAACTATACTCTGCCCTGGCCATGAGGCGAACCTGTTCAGTTTAGAGAAAAAGAAAAAGCTAAGCCTAAATGTACTATTTGTGTCCCATTTAGAACATGGTACAAAAGCAGGCTTGGTACAAATGCTAGCAACAGGTGGCAGTAACTGGAGCCAGCCATGACTGGGCTGAAGGGTTGGTGGGTAGATGTCAGTCTTTCTCTCTCTCTCTCTCTCTCTCTCTCACACACACACACACACGCTGGGCTGAAGGGTAGGTGGGTAGATGGCAGTGTCTCTCTCTCACACACACACACACAAACGCGCTGTCAACTTATCCCAGCTGGCAGTGTGGGAAGCAGCCTCAAGCAGCAGCGGGTGGAACATTTCATAAACAAGGATTCGTTCATTCATTTTCTCAACAAATAATATTTTTGAGGCTCTGCCTCAAGCCAGGCACGGTGTGGGGCAGCGGGGACACGGCGGGGAGCAATTCCAGTGGCTGCCTGCCCTTGCGGAGTCTGCAGTGGAAACAGCTGTGCCTCCCCGGCGCTCGTCCCACCCGTGCACCTGCAGCTCGTGGGAACCGTGAGGAAGGGTGCTGCCGGCCTTGGGCTGGCCTGTGCCTGGACCTGCGCGAGCCTGGTGCCTGCTCCCATGCCCCTCCACAAAGACCCGGGTTCACACTTCAGGGGTGGAGGAGTGGGCGTTGCTGGAGCCGGGAGGCAGGTTGGGGTCTCTGGTGGGATCGCTGGCCCTCATGGCTGCTGTTCCAGACCAGGGGCTCCTTGGCATTGGCACAGCTTCCTGAACCTTGGCGGGTCCCACCCCACCGCCACCCAACCGTCTTCCTCCATCCCAGCGTAGCTGTGCTGGAGAGCCTGGGTGACGCTTCCTCACCCAGGTAGGCTGTACACGGTGGGGGCTCACGGGCCCCAAGTCCTTCGGGTTGTAGACATTTGATCTGTGACGTTGATTCAATCTCAGTTGTACCTGGAGATTCACCCAAATTGCCTTGCAATACAGGTCCACAGTTTTAGCCTGGAGCTCTGATTGTGTAACTCCTGCTATAAAATGATGTACCAGGCAGCTTCTGCTGCAAGACCACCCCCAGAAGTCCCCGTGGCTACAGCTGCAGCTTCTCATCCTTGTATCTACAAATAGCCTCGGGTTCCACTGCACTCCGGGCCGGGCTCTGGCCCAGTCAGCGCCGTAATGTGGCCCGAATTCTGGTTCCCAGGCGGAGGAGCAGTGTTGCGGGGACCACGTTCTGGAAGCACAAGAGACGAAACTGAGCCCCGCACGCACATGGACAGCCCCTGCCCACGCATGCTGTGTGTGAAGCCTGCACACGTGTTGCAGGCCAGAGCATGCGGCTGAGTCTGGCCTCCCTGGGGTGACGCAGGCAGTTGGTCCTTTCTGGGGGCTCCACACCTGTGGATTCCACCGACTTCAGGCTGGCATTACGTTGTTTTCAAATTGCACCTCATCGTGGACAGACCTCCCTTACTGCTCCCTAGGCAGTATTTACGTAGTGTCTGTCGTATGAGGTGTGGTAAGTAATTGCTGGAGTTTGAACATGATTTGGCCCTGAACTCGTGTGGGACATTTAGACGCCATCATAAGTGGATGTACCTGGGGGTGGGATGGAGACATGGTTGATTTTCATGTTTTGTGGGGTGGGTGCTGTGCCCTGGGACGGTGGTTCTCAGGAGGAGGCCAGGCACGCATGCGTGAGTCCATTCTGCTCCCTGTGTGTCCTGTTCCTGGAGCACACTGACCCTTCTTTCCCCAGGATCAGCCAGGCCCACCCCACCCTCATCAGACGCCCAACACACTGGTGGATTTTTTTTTTTTTTTTTAAGATTTATTTATTTGAGAGGCAGAGTCAGAGAGAGGGAGAGGTCTTCCATCTTCTGGTTCACTCCCCCAATGGCCACAATGGCCAGAGATGGGCCAGTCCAAAGCCAGGAACCAGGAGCTTCTTGCGGGTCTCCCACGTGAGTGCAAAGGGCCCAAGCACTTAGGCCATCTTCTGCTTTTCCAGGCACATTAGCAGGGAGCTGGATCGGAAGTGGAGCATCCAGGACTCAAACCGGTGCTCATACGGGATGCCGGCACTGCAGGCAGCGGCTTGATCCTGTACAGCACAACGCCGACCCCACATCCTGCACTTATCAGAAGCTGGTTCCGTTGCGAATCTGTTGGGAGTTTGAAGAGCATGAGGAAGGCCCCGCATTCAGCCCCACAGTGCACAGTGGTCAGGCGCAGAGGCTCCACCCAGGACAGCTCTGTGAAGCAGTCCTGGTTCGGGAAGGTCTGAGGAAGCCGCGGAGTGGAGGCGGGGCTCACAGCCACCCTGACTTTCCCAGGCCCTGCCCTGCTAAGGGAAGCCGTGGGCTTCCAGGCAGCTCAGCTCTGCGAGCACCAGGGGCCCCAGGCAGCCCCGGCCAAGCTCGTACTGCAGACTCCGATGAGGATGCTGCAGCTCTGCCACCAAAGGGGGCCACCAGTGCCACCCCGGCTGCCAAGAGCGCAAGAAGGAGACGCCAAGGAGGGAGGGTGTGATTGGGGGAGGCTCGAGCATGCATTGGTCTGCAGCTTCCAGACAGCCGGCAGCTGCGGCTTAGTGCAAGGGGGAGAGGCTCTGCCACAACTCGAGGGAGGATTTACCCCAAAGGGAGCACTGCAGAGATGAGGAGTAACCACAGAGGTCCCGGACTCCCTTCTGTCGCTCACCCTCCGTCCGGGCTCCCCCTGGGGCTGAGGTGCGCCTACCTGCTGCAGCTGTGCTTCCTCACAAACTGGCAGCTCCCCCCACCCCCGGCTTTGGAGGGGTCCTCGCTGTCTCCCAGAACGAACCGCGTGAAGCCAAAGGCCACAGCACGCTCCCCAAAGTGTGGCCCAAGGAGCCCGCGGCCCCTGGCCGCCCTTGCCCAGGGGCGGGTCCGGGAGACTGATGCTCCCCAGCCGAGGCCCCGCGCAGTGAGGATCGCTTGTGGAAGCGGAGTGGAGAACGCAGCTGCCTCCCGTGAGCTGAGCGCTAAGGTTCGCAAACAGCACCACCCTTCTCTCCCTGCACTTTATTCTCTTGGGAAAATATGGCTGATTTTCACAAAAAAGGAATCACCATGAAACAGATCTGCTGTTTAAAAAAAAAATCGGGGCTGGCACTGTGGTGCAGCAGGTTAACGCCCTGGCCCGAAGCGCCAGCATCCCATATGGGTACCGGTTTGAGTCCCGGCTGCTCCACTTCCCATCCAGCTCTCTGCTGTAGCCTGGGAAAGCAGTAGAGGATGGCCCAAGTCTTTGGGCCCCTGCACCTGCGAGAGGTACCCGAAAGAAGCTCCTGGCTCCTGGCTTCAGATTGGTGCAGCTCCGGCCGTTATGGCCAACTGGGGAGTGAACCAGCAGATGGAAGACCTCTCTCTCTCTGTCTCTACCTCTCTCTGTAACTCTGTCTTTCAAATAAATGAAATAAATCTTTTAAGAAAATAAATCACTAGGGGCCAGTGTTGTGAGGCTGCAGCCTCTTTCATCCTACCTTGGCGCGCTGGTTCGAGTCCCGGCCGCTCTGGTCCCTATTCAGCTTCCTCACAAGCCTGGGAAGACAGCGGGAGATGGCCCAGATGCTCTCGGGCCCCTCCGCAGGCGGAGTTCCTGGCTCCTAGCTTCAACCTGGCCTGGCCTGGGCTGCTGCAGCCATTGGGGGAGTGAGCAGCATATGGAAGTGCGCCCTCCCTCTCTCTCTCTCTCCCTCTCTCTCCTTTTCTCCCTATCACTGCTTTTTTAATTAAAATTTTTATAAAGGAATACATTTTTTAAGTTACTGGTGTTAATGTCTACCGTGTAAACATTGATATAACTCATAAACAAATGCCTTTTTTTAAATTTTTTGACAGGCAGAGTGGACAGTGAGAGAGAGAGACAGAGAGAAAGGTCTTCCTTTTGCCATTGGTTCACCCTCCAATGGCCGCCGCGGCCGGTGTATCGCACTGATCCAAAGGCAGGAGCCAGGTGCTTCTCCTGGTCTCCCATGCGGGTGCAGGGCCCAAGGACTTGGCCCATCCTCCACTGCACTCTCGGGCCACAGCAGAGAGCTGGCCTGGAAGAGGGGCAACCGGGAAAGAACCCGGCGCCCCGACCGGGACTAGAACCCGGTGTGCCGGCGCCGCAGGCGGAGGATTAGCCTAGTGAGCCGTGGCGCCGGCCAAACAAATGCCCTTTAAGACCTTAATAATTCTTTTACATTTTTATTTTATTTATTTGAGAAG